GCTTTTCCTCTGCCAACACAACAGAGGAATAACAAACTAGTATATGGGATGAACTAATATATATCAAAAGAAGTATTACTTTTGACAGAGAAACAGCTTTTCCTTTTTGTAGGGTTTTGAAGGAATTTTAAGTAAAACTTCCGTGCCCGTTTTCTTTCCAGCCGTGTGATTTGGAGTCGTGCACGCAGTGGTGCTGTTGCTGCGGCGCAGGGGTGTTTGGCTGCGGGGTCTGCGGGCGAGCGGCAGAACTGTGCTTGGATGCTCCTTTACTGAGCATCGGCCGTGCGATGGGTCAGTTATAAAACATAATAGATTGCTTCCTTGCTTCTGCACGCTGATTTGATCTCTGGAGTTCCTCATGGGCTCCAAGTTGCATAACCGGCATGGGACCCGAGCCTTATGTTCTTTTTGTTGGTGGTTATTACATTAACTGTTTCTGCCCCCTTGGTGATTAAGAACAGATTATGCAACAGGAGCGAGGAATTTCCAACCCCTTCCCCGCTGAAAAGTCAACGTGAGCCTCCAGCGACCGCTGCTTCTGCCATTAAAGCAGAGCGAACCAGCGGGTTATTTCTGAGGAAGTTTCTCTTTCTGGTATTTTCTTCAGTGGATCAGAGTCTTGTTGGTTTAGAACTTCGGTAGAGAGATCTGAATGTGCCTGTGAGGTGTCGTGGGCAGGGACGGTCTGTCCGTCGAGAGCCAAAGTACGGGACTGAGAAAGCCTGGCTGTAATTAATGAATTCACCTACTCGGGGTCTCTTCTGAAACAGATCTTTAAAATGGCTCCTGCTCCTTTCTGTCAGTCAGCGTCTGCCTTTTCATGTCCTGCCAGCTTTTCCCTCCCGTTTTGTTTTTCTTAGCAAAATGTCACTCTGTATTAAGAGCAAGCGGCACAGTGTGACAGCTCCCTCCAGGCCCTCAGCTGCGTGAGCTCAGCACGGTGCGCACCTGAGGTCCCGAATCTGTAACCAGCATTTCTTGTGCGCAATCAGAACTGCCTAATTTCAAAAGTATTGAGCTCTTCTCATTGGCATCACAGGAGTTAACCGCTCTGAAAGTCGAGTCACTTTTTTGAATGCTGGTTGTAAGTGGCATCCAGTTTTTAAGCGTGGTGTTACGTCCTCAGTACTGTTGTTTACCAGTCCCTGTAACAAGTAGTATTACCCGCTCAAACTTCGAATTGTAGCTGATGAATATATTTAAACTCTTTCAGTAGAAGGCACTAATGAAAAATATTACTGTGGAGTTTTTTTAGCTTCATCCGATTTCCATACTTCTAGTGTTTTTATAAAGAAACCATTTAAATATTTTACAAAAAATCCTTTGCTGGTGTAGTTGAGACTATTAAATTGTGCAGTGATAAACAACAATTTATTGTAAATGTAATTGTTTGGCTTTTTGTACTCTGTTCTCATTTTAATCAAAACAATAAAACTTGCAACTTTTTCTGCAAATCCGAAAACATGTTGACATAACCATTATCCAGTGAAGACTTGAAGGTGCTCAGTTGTCACCTTGTCATCTTGTTTTAGAAATACTAAAAGCTGAATAGAAAGCCCAGATGTACAGCAATGTATGTGTTCTTTATGTAGGTAGTTTGGAGGAAGCCTTTGTTTTATTCTTTAATATTTATATGAAGCAGTGATCACATGAAGTGAATCATATTCATTTAGGGATCCTGCCTAAACAAAGCTGGGTCAGTGCCATGCTTTTGGGGAACGGGCATTTAATATTCTTTGCTTTGAGGGCTCACTTTTCCTGTGAAATAAGTAGTTTCTCTTCCTTCTGTGTTGTAAAATTTACTGTGCAGGTCATACATACCTGAAGTTGACCGACTGATCACTCTAGATACCAAAGTATATAAACAGTGACAAAAGTGAAACTCCAGAAGTCCCCACACCTTCCTACTGTGGTGTGTGTTGAAGGAATACGGGGCAGAACACATTGGGCTTCTCGGGCGGTTTGTCCTCTGGACACATGCTCAGGCCATGCCCCATTCATTTTTTCAGTGATACATATACTGCTTGACTAGGGACTAGGAGCTGCCTTGGCACCCACATCGAATTACATGACGAGCTTGCAGGTAATGTTAGCTTTTTGTTGTTAACAAGACGTAAAACTTCTGAGACACTGCATCGTATTACAGTCCCTTGAACCATTCAGGTCTTGAGCCCTATTTAATTGAAAGAGTTAAAAATTAATGATGAAAATAGAAGCAGCTGACTGGTGACTAACCCAAAGAACATCTATGCCTTACACGTTAAACTTTAATGTATGCATCATCCTGAGTGTTGAAATCTTGCAATTTAATAGCATGTTAAATAAATAATTGTTAAATAAGTTGAATGACAGTTTTACAAATACCATTTATTGTCACAACAATCAACAGTGACAATTCCAGTATGATGTAAGAATATATGTACTATTTTTAGCAGGTTGATGAAAGCACAGCAAGGGTAGGTGATACGACTCACAGCTCTCAGCAACTCCTGGGCACAGAGCGTGTTTGCCTTCAGTAGATTCACTGGCCAACTTCCAGTAGTCCCCAGACCTGCTTGAGTCTCTGTGACTACCGTCTCTAGCTGCCCAGCTCTCTGCCTTCCCATGTGCTTAACCGATAAAAATCGCTGGACTTTGGGGGTAGTTTTAACCAGGTGAATCTGGATTTCTCTCTCTAGTTATGTGTAATATTTTTTGTGTTTTGACTGATTGTTATCACAAGAAACTTCTATCATTAAGTGTGAGAAGGGTTTCTATAAATAAAGGGGTCATTAACCTTTACGGACTACTTAATGGTATATACTGTGGCATTCAGAGGTGTGACGATACCTGGTGCTTATGATGACTGGTCTTCTAATAATTCTGAAAGTTGTAACTTGAATATAATTCTCTGCCATCTCCTTGATTTCAGCTAGTGTAAATTGCATATAGATAAGATCATGGTATTTGAAAAGTAAAAAAATTATATAACTGTTGTTGAGCATTTGAATCTCATTAATTTCCTTCATTTTACCTGTATATTTCTACTTCACTTATTTGAAGACACAAACATGACAGACTTTTTTAATGAACATATGTGTCATTAGAATAAAGTATGTTAAATCTCTTGTATCTGCAGTTGCGTTGCTAAGAAGTTGAACTACATCTTTAAGCAATTCTGCAGTCAGATGTACATTTCAAAATCCTGGCTCAGGAATCTAGCAGTAAACTAAGAAATAGTTGATAAGTGTTTGAAAAATGTGAATTTTACATTTCTCTATTATTGTCTGCAAAAGATTAAAAAAAGAAAGAAATTAAATAAAATTATCCTCCATCTTACCATCATCTTTTAAATTTGTGTGTCATTAAAAAATGCAGGAATGCATGGGACATTGTAACAGCTTTCTTGGTTTGTCCTTTTTCCTCCAAGGTTTAGCAACTTCCCCCAGTGGTTAGTACAGCTCTCCAAGCAACTAATCCTGTATCTATAAACTGTAATGTCAAAGGATTAATGTGTGCCTGGGAACGCAGGTCAAATCTGCTTTAGATCACCACAGTTTGAGTTCAGCTCCTAGCTGAAATATCACGAAACTACCATATAATTTAGTACAAGTCTTGCATTCCTATTCTTCAGCTGCTGGTTGCCTTTAATAAAAAGAGGCCCAGGATTGATTTCCTTGCGAATGTATTTTTCTTTGTCTAAAACCAAAGTAGTATCAGCTGGAAAGTAGAAAGATTTCTTAAAATAGTTCTGTATTCGATATAAATAGCACTTTCAAAGTCTGCTTTTAAAATACTGTAGAAAGTACAGCATGGCAAGTTACTGATATTTCCTCAATTTCTTCTGTATGCTATGTTACAATGCCCAGATTTTTTAAGCATCTCTTGGTGGCACACCCTGCCTTCCACTGGATAGCTGCTGAGACCAGTGGTGCTGCACACAGATGCAGTGGCATACATTAGCTGAATCTCATCTGAGAGTAAAGACAATTATTTTTAAATATTTTTTACAAAAATCTGAATCTAATTTGTGCAATACATAGAATGATATATGCAGTAAGCAGACATATATAACTACATCTATTTTATTTAGTCTGAGTCACCGACAAGACACAGCAATTTATACCTAATTATCTGCAAATGTAAGATCCAGAATCTCTGTTACTTTACTTTCTTGATACTTATGTTAGGTACTGCAGTCGTGTGTTTTTGAGAGTTTTTCCTATATGAATTCTTGCAATATGGTTTTACTTCCATAAAAAAGTGGCAGGGATCCTTTTAGAATATTCGTTTGATCTTAACATTGAAATGTAATTGAGAGCAGGTATATTAATTTACTTCTGGTTAGTGTGGGTGGCCTTTTAATTAATTTCATTCTCTTTTAAGGCTACAGTGTATTCTATTATCATAACATAAAATAATTACCAGCTTTAGAATATGTCTATTTCACTATAACATAGAAAAAGCAGTATTGTGCACCACTGTACACATCTTAATGAAGGGGCTGCATGCTTAGGCTTTTGTTCTGACCAAGTTTACCTATATTGAACTGCAAATTGAAAACCCCACGTGTTGTCAAACTGTAAAGTTACTGTCAGAGTGGCTGACATTTTTTTAGTTTGTTTGTTTGGTTTACTTAGGGAAAATAGTTTAACAGATGAAATAAAAAACAATGTACTTCTGCTGAAATAAAAAAATCTGCCTGGACCAGAGTGACGGTTCCTGCCTGCTGCCCTCTGGTGGGATCGCCGTCCTCCTGGAGCAAGTGGCTGTGCTCGCGCTCCTGGGCACTTGTTTCAAAACCGATAGAACTGAGCATTTCATAACCACGTTCTTGTTTGCTTCGTCTTTCAAAAAATTCAACCTGGGCATGCCACAAAGCCTGCCTACACGTCTGAGGTGCAACGCGCCTGGAAACCCAACTTCATTTCAAGCAGAGACTCATTTAAAAATTAAGTCTCTTGGGCTGGGATGTGGTGCGGTAGGACTTTGCTGACAGTCATTTTCTCATGGCCTGGCAGGTTCTTCGCTCTGTGCTGCTGTTTCCGACGATAGAGCGTATGGCTCAGTCCCCTCAAGGAAAGCTGATGACCCCTTTGCTGTGCAAACTTCGTTACGTTCTGTACATGCCCGTCTACCTGCTGTCCTTCCTACCGGAGGGAGTCAAAGCCTCCCTGGTGCGGTTTGCCCTGCGAGGAATGAAGACCTGTGATGAATCTTCCATAACAACCTCCGTAAATCTTTTCAGCGTGGACTGCATTGGTGAGCACCTTCTTTTTTGTTACGCCAGCTTTTGTATTGTTCTTGTTCAGTGTTGATGTAGTTTGTGGGCAAAAGCTTAATACTAAAGCATGAGTAAGTTTTGAAGAAGGACAGGTCTAATCTTTTCTCAAATTAAGACCATGGGTACAGGAAAACCTCAAATGAGTCAATTAAAAAAAAATCTTAAGGGGAAAATAACAAATAAAATATTTTCCTACAGAATATATATTTCTTAAGAAAACTGACCTATACTACTAACAGTATCTCGTGATCGAAACACTGTTTTACAATCTGGTTTATGTTACTTATGTCTGCTTACTTTTTGCATTTCATTCATATTGGATGGTGAAAATAAATCAGTAATCAGTTTCACAAAGGGTTCTTTGCATCTGTTTTTTTCAAAGCTATGATTTAACCATCTGTATAGATTTTGTTATCTGAATTGGAATATTGGTAAATTCAGAAAAGAGCCTTCATCCTACAAAGACACACAGAAGTTACTTTATGCACAGAAGAATTTCAGCACTTTTTTGAGCATATGGAGAAAGGTAGAAGATTAACGTTCCTCCAGTGCATAATGTATGCATATTTTGCACATTCTAGCAAGAGAAACAGCTTTAAGAAAGGGAATAATTTCAGATAAATTATGTTAAGTTTAGAATGAAAACCAGAACATGGATTGTGCTATACTCCAGGTATTTTGGTAAGTTAGGAGTTGAAAACAATTTGGAATAGAATTGACATGCTAACACAGTAATAATAGCAAGAAGGAAGTTTTGATTGCATTAATAGTAGTAAAAACACATTCCTACATTTCCAGTTGTGCTCTGTCTTCTATCAGTTAAATTTTACCTACTAATCGTCCAAACAGATGTGCCAGAGTAACTCTGTGATTGCAGCGAGGTCCTATACCTCTTGCAGATATCTGTGGATGTGTTGGTCTGTATTGGAGGCTATAGCTGTAGGACTGTAGAGAGACTGAAAGCAGGATGGGCAGTGAGGGTTCTTACTGCCAAACCTAGACAGCCCTGTTTATGTTGTACAAACCTGGCATAACGACAGTCACTCCGCTGCAGTACCCTGTGCCTGACAAAATCAGGCTCCCAGCTGATAATGTGAACTTCTGACAGGAGTCCTGTGGTCTGTTGCTTCAGTTCCTACTAATTTATGACAAGTTTATGGTGACCCAGGAGAAAGCAAGCATGCAGTCATACGTACGCTAGGCTTTCAGGTTTCTTCCTTTGATAATTTAGTCTCAGAGAAAGGTATGTGAAGGTCTGTGGGGTCACATCTCCACAAGCCAGGAACCCTTCTCTGGTCCCCACAGATAAACTTTTACCTCTCAAAACTGGTTATCCACGTCCAGGGTTGTATTGGAAATGGTCCTTGGCCTGCATTAACCTCCAAAAAAGCGTGGCCAGCCATTGTTTGTGAGGGCTGTTTGGCTCAGGCCACAGCAGTGGCAGGAATAATTTAACAGAACGTTTTTTGTGTGCTGCTGTTGGAGCCTGATGTGCCGAGCTCTTTGGTCCTCAGGTAAATGAGCCTGGTTGGCGTGCGTGTGTGTGTGTGTGTGAGCCTGTTGTAATTTTCTGTGTGCATCAGTGTCTGATCCGTGTCTAAGCTGTAAGGTAAATTGAGGCAAGAAACCAGGCTGAAGGCTCTCGTGCTCATAGGATGTGACCTCTGCCTATGTTCAATTTATTGACTGAATTCGTTATACCAGAATGAAAACCCCTGTGAGCCAATGTCTTGTAAAACTTGCATTAACAGGCCTTATGGATGCAACTAGTTCCTTTGGGCTTGTGATATCATCTCTCTTGAGCAGAATTCCCCTTTGGTTTCATCTTTGGAAACTGATGATGTTTTACAGCCCGGTGACTCAGGACCACATGTGTGGATTAATAATCTTAGGGCTTTCCAGATATTGCCTGTTAACCTTCTCTTGGATTGTTTGCGGACAATAGAAAATGTAACCATTCAGCAAAAATCTGCTAAACTGAGCACAACAACTGAGTCTGTCTTATGGGACCACTCATCTGTGAGTTACTGAAGCCTCTGAATTTGTGGTAAACGTTTTTCTGATTGGTTTCTTGTCCCTTAATAAACTGCTAGATATGGTTCAGAAACGTTCAGCAAATGAAGTTGTTTCTCCTCTCCAGGAAGGTTGCATGTCAACTCATTAAAAATACACATATTGCCTTTGGCATGTACATCTGTTGCATTACTGTAATTGTAATAAAAGCTGTGATTAAAGGCAGAAAAGATGGTAAAAGTTTCCTTCAAACTAATACGTCCGTTAAAACAAACCAACCTGCCAGGGATTTGTTACCACATCCCAAGCTTAGTCACAACAATGTTTTCTCTCCTCTGAAAGGAAATGAGATTGGAAAACTTAATTATAGCGGAACTCTAAGACCGAGTGCTGCGCCCGTGAAAAGCTCCATTCAGTGGCAGCAGAACCAGGCCCTTGGTTGAAAGAGTCAGTGAAGGAAGAATTATATTACATATCTGTCCCACCATTTCAAATGATGTTTGTTCCTGCTTCTTATCCAAACTCATCTTTCCATCGCCCTAACTTTATAGTTGATGATACATAGAAGCCCCAGTCACGCAGCAGAAGGCATCGCGATGACACTGTGCAGAAAGGTAACATACCGTCTTGTCCCAAAGGGGAGGTAATACAGAAACAGGAGAGACAGCAAGGACTGTAAAGAAAACAGATTGTAAGGAAGGATGGGAAGACATGGTGTGGAAGTAGTAAAGGACCTATTAGAAATAAGCAGAGGGGTCTGAAAGAAGTTTGCCTACCTGGATTAAACTTTTAGCAGAAGTTTCTTAGGGCAGAAGAAACATTACAGTGAACAAACTAGCATTTGGGTACTTGTATTGTGAAACTCAGAGATGAATAGACAGAAAAATTGGACATGAGTGACCTTGAGTTATCTGAAACATTGTCACTCTGTTTATTCAGGCTAACAAAACAAGGATACCCCTATCTAGCACGGTGGTGGTTGTTCTACAAATCATGTACAGTCCCGCAACACTGGAATACTTTGGCACTCCAGCGCGTTGAAATTTGTAAACATTTCTTCGGTGACAGATGCCAGTAGCAGACTTACAGTGACAGTAAAGCGTTCTATCTACATGGGACAGGATTTATTGTCCAGCCGTTTGACTGGCAAACTTCCTCCATTTGTTTCTGTAAAATTTCCACAAAAGCACAGACATTACATAATGGGTAAACACTGCAAGGCTTTTTCAAGAGGCGGGCGTGCAGGTCAGAGGTTAACGTCTGGATGACAGTGAAGATACAGATAAGCACAATAGCAAGAAAAACCTCCAACTGGCCCAAACGCAGTGCGTCCTTTGTGATCTTGAACCTGTGACTTCCCCGGAGGAATCTCCCTGTTTGTGTAACCTATCTGGGGAGCGGGGGAGCCCGGGGAGCTGGGGTGGGAGGAGGTCTGCTTTGTGCAGTTCAGGCAGGTTGGGAAGGAGGGGACCCAGAAACCTGAAATGAGGGTTTCACATGGGTTCAGGCTGTCACACGAATGCAGGCTGGAGACAGTAGATTTCCAGTTTATTTTAAGCCTCCGAGAGATGTTGTAAGAAGACGAGGAACTAAGATTAAACTTCAGAGTTTGGATTCAAATTTTATCTTGTTCCAAGTGTGGAGACATTCAGATTTTGTGTGGAGTGTTTACATTTCCCTCATTTTACAGAGAAAAAAGGACTAAGACATTTTCAGACACTCCACTCTTATGCCAGCAGGACTGCATAGGAAGCGAGAGTCCTGACTGAGGTATTGAGGCTTGTCTCCCAGCAGTAGCTACCTCTCTCTGTTAGCTGTACAGGATAGCAAAATTACACCCCTGAAGTGCCATGGAGTAAAATGCTTTATCGTAGGTTAGAATTTGCATAACTGTCGAATAGCATCTGGGAGATAAATTTGTATCAAAAGCCAGTGAAACATAGGCTTCCAGTTGCTATGAAAATGGAACATAAGCTTTTACATTGGCGAAGTTATTTTAAAATTTTATCTCCAGGGAGCCAACTGGAAAATTTCATTCTGGGTTTGAATTATCCTAACATTGGGAGTTGTCATGTGTTGAGATCTGTTTCTGTTCCAATTCCCTTTTCTTAATCAGAGAGATTTTAAATATGACATTATGGGTGGTCTTCGTCTGACCACTGCAGACATCGTGCTGTCCAAATAGTTGGCATCCAAAGCAGGACAGGTGAAGAGATGACTGTTTCTCTTTACTGACCTCAAAGGGACCCTCTGTCTACTAGATACCTAAAATTGGAGGAGGTAAATCCCACTCTGTCTACTGGCTGCTCATTTTGCTGCAGACATCAGAAAACAATGTGATCTGAGAATTGTCCATGCAGCCTTTACCCTTGCTGCCAGGACAGTCAGGTATCCCATGCTTTGGCTGCACTAGAATTTATAGTTGCTGGTTTCTAGCGGGATTCCTGTTGTTTCTTTCCTACCTTCTTTGAAAACTCATTTTACATCTCCACCTCCATTTCCTGATGAGATGGGAAATTTTTGGAGAGTTCTTTTTTGGGACTAAAATGCCGTAGGAATACCCATCTAACTGAAATACTTGGGTAAGGACAGTGCGTGGTGGTGTATTCGTGGCACTCAATAGCGCCTCCACCTATTCTGCTTATATTTTTCAGAGTTAAAACCCAGTGTTTAAAGTATTAGGTAAGCACTTGATAAATGAATTCACCTGAAATGGTGAAATAAGGGTGCTTTGCCCCCTAAAGAGTATTTGAAAAAGCTATGTAACCACATAGCTAAAACTGAGTTTACTTTTCTTTCTTTGTTTTTAAATTAAAATGGTGTTCTTTTCTTGCACTGAAATTAAAATTTAACTCCTAAAAGTAACAGAAGACACAATGCGCATCTCTAAATTCAGCACGGAAGGCAGAGCTCTTCTGATTTGGTTTTATGGAATGAAATCGAAAGAGCTCTGCGTTCCAAGCTG